CGAGGCTTCCCCTTTCCAGAGGGGTGACATAGCCCCGAGGCCCAGTCCACCCGCGCCACCACGTCCTCGTTCTCGCAGGACAGCGACCCCTCCCCCTTAAACGCCAAGTTCAGAAACAAAACAAGAGGTGCGAACTGGTTTCAGGTGGCGATGGCCTTGCCCTGGACGCCAACTTCTGGGGATGCGGGGCAGGCGAGGGCTCCCAGGATCTCGGACCCCACAAGGAGCTAAAACCCAGACGGCCCCGGGCGTCGGCCCCACTCCTCTGCCAGCCCCTCCCTCGCCTCGGCCCAGACCCGGTGCAAGCGACAGGGGTGCGGGGAAACGGGGTGCGGAGAAACGGGAAAGGGTGGGAAAAGGAAAAGGGTGCGGGGAGGGTTAGGGTGCGGGGAAAAAGGAGGTATGTGAGGGAAACGGGGTGAGGGATGGAAAAGGGGGTGGGGGCACGGGGCGCCAGAAGGGAAAGGGGATGGGGGGAGCGGCAGAGAAAAGGGTGCGGGAAGGGAAAGGAAGTGCAGGAAGGTAAAAGGGGTGCGGGGGAAAGGGTGGGGTGGGAAAAGGGGTACAGGGCCGGGGTTGGGGAGGGGTGTCAAGGAACGAAGAGGTTCGGGAGTTCGGGAAGGGACGCCGCGGTCGCAGTGACAGCGGCGGAGTCGCGGGCAGCCAAGGCCGGGGACGTAGGTCGGGCCAAGCCAGGCTGTGAGCTGAGGCCGGGCGGCGGCCGCGCCCCCAGAAGACGCCCCCAGCCGCCCCCTCTAGCCTCGCCCCAATACCCCACCAGGCGCGGGGATGCACACTCACCGGCGGGCAGCAGAGGGCAGCCGGCGTTTCGCAGCGCCGTCTCGAGCGCTCAGCCCCCGGCTCCTGCCGCGGCCGCCACGCCGGGTCCATCCCCCATACCCTCCTGCTGGCCCTGCCCCTGCCGCCTCAGCCGCCGCCGCCTCGGCCCGGCACGAGGAGCACAAGCGAGACTGAGCGCGCCCCCGCCACCCACAGCCTCCGCCCCCGCCGACAACGCATGCGCGA